GGCCTCAATTCCCCTCATAGTTTCACATCTCTTCAATAATACTAACCTTTTCCCCCACTAAGTACAAAAGGGAACTAGATTTGAACTATGGCTCTGCTGACAGAAGTCACAAGACACAGCACCTTTAACACATCTAAGTGTTTAGAGAGGGCACTAAGCAGTCTCTGGAGTTTCCAAGGCCCTCTCGTATGAGAAGGAGGGCAACTCAACAGCATCTGTGAGTACGGGGGAGGAGGGGGGTCTGGTAAGGCCCAAGTCAAGCATCCAAACCAGGAAGGAGGCTCCACGACTCTCCCACACCAGCTGCTAAGGAAGCCACAGAACCAAGCTGGATGGTGAGTCAGAAAACCTCAGTCCATCCCATTGTCCAAACTTAAGAATGCTCTCAGACTGTAAAGTGGCATCTGCAAGCCTTGGTAGTCAATTGAGACTGAAGGTCCTACAGGAAAATGACAAGAAATTCTCTAGACATTGTAGCAATGCCAACGACAATAGATGTAGAGCACTCCTAGCTCATCAAGATGAAAAGATAATAAAGGATCATGGCTCAGTAACTACTAGCCACCTCCTAAAAATCATTCTCTCCCTCCAAGGGCCGATCATAGTGAACAATCATATGGATCAAGTAACCCCAAGACACAGCAGCCTACAGTAAGAACACTGGGGAGAGCACCTGCCCAGGTGGATGAAATATACATGTAGTTAGGGTTAGGGTTAACCTCCTCGCATGTTCAATGTGGGAGGACGTGAAGAAAACAGTCCATGCCATAGTTATGCTAGCAAAACTAATGTGACAAACGTACTTGAGATTACCTTAATTCTGCCTCTGCTAGTCTGCTTTCCTACAGAGTATCACCTGGCCTCAAATTATGTCTCAGATGTCTTAGTTACTATATTACCCTTTAAGAAAGATAAATTTTACTGTTATGTCAAAACAGTAATATGTTAAGACTATTTGCAAGCTTCATCTTATAAACACTATAAAACCATTTATCTCACCTTTAGTCAGGTAGCCAGTGATATATCACTGTCCTGTACCAAGAAATCTCTCTGCAAACAGATGAACCATGATACAGGTCCAGTATTAATCTTATGCATGTTAAAGTATTAATAGATATTAGCAAAAAAGAAAAATAAACTATTAAACTAAATTTATTAAATAAAATAAGCTGTAGTACTATCTCACAGTAAAAACTAGAAGAAAAAACATGAAGGTGCAGAGGTAGATAGAGATGCCCTGGGCTCTTAGTTCTCTAGTAAGTGTAGCTGGGAGAGAATGTACCTTATCCATATGGAAGATTAAATCCAGTTCACACACGTTTTCAAAACATTTGTCCAGAGTCTCCACAAAAACCTATGAGACAAGGAGAAATAGATATGAGAAACATAAACATATTCATAGCTTCATCAATTCACACCTGAAGAGGGCAGTCATGACTATCTACCCCTCAACACCAAGGCCTACCTTTTATCCTAGCGTTAGCTGATAGCTCTACATATTTCAATTTAGTGGGGACAATGTTAGACAGGAAAACCTTCTTTTTAGTATAGGAAGACAACCAGTAGACACACGGCTCTTCCCCCCCTTTATAAGATACTAACATACATACAAGTTTAAGAAAATACAGCTACTTTCAATACTGTCTTTTCTGCAATCACAATGTACACATGTACAAGAAAATTTTCTCAGTCCCCGTAGTATAGTGGTTACAGCGCCAGCCACATATACCGAGGGTGGCAGGTTGGAACCTGCCTGGCCCAGCTAAACAACTGCCACAAAAAACA